GGGCTGGTGGTCTCTGTGCTTCTGGTGGCTGCTCCACGAGGTGCGGTGGGCCAAAGCACCGAAGCAACGACAGTTGTACAGATGCTCTCCATTGACGCGAAGGACCCCTTGTCTACTAATCACATTAGGAAGGCAGCTGGTGTGGGCTTCTTGGCATGGCTCTATTCACGTGGGTACGTTGTTTTGCGATGCTGACGAGGAGGCCCGTGCTTCAGCGGATGAGGAGAGCTTCTTGCCACATCGGTGCGACGCTGCTGTAGTTTTCGTAGTTCATGCGGTGGTGGCCGGTCCTTTTTCTTCTCGTGCGGAGGCTGGCGTGTTGCTGTGCGCATCTGTTGGCGTCTCTGCTGGTAGGCGGCGCCTGGACGCGTCTGCGAGTGACGCGACGTTGCCGGACGCCACCCTTGTGGTGCCGATGCGGCTGACGTGTTGTGGACGCGGCGCCTTGTTTTCGATCCGGGACGTCTGGGCGATAATGTGGAGGGCACTGCCATGATTGTGTGTACTCCTACCTTCTGCTTGCTGTGCGGTTCAATGGGCTCTGTGTTTCGGGAGAAAGTCCTCTGTTCCCCTCTTGCAAAGGGACGTGTGTGGGATGTGGTGCGCCGCTGTTGGGTCTTGGCACGCGCTGTGATGACTGTGCGTTGCGTGGCTGTGTGACAGACGGGTTGCTGGTGTGGCTGGTACTAGTGCTGGGACAACGGTGGCGCTGTGTGGTGGTGGTGGAGTATGAACTGTTGTGTCGTACGTGTGATTCATCTTGTTGCGGTGCCGCGCTGGTGGCGCTTCCTTTCCGATTGTGCTTGTGCGCTGGCCTGTTTATGGCTTCTGCATCTCCTTGCTGTGTGTGGGGCTCTGCAGCTTGCCAGCTGCATGCGTGCGGTGATGTGTGGGGATCTGTGTCCTGGCCTCGTGTCTTCGCGCGTTGTGGTCCCCCACGCCGTTTGTTGTGCGGCGGCGGGCTGAGGAGCTCCGCCCCCTTGTGCTGCGCGGTGCCCCGCCACGCTGCCGCTACCACTGGAGTGCGTGGCAGCGGAGTGCGGCGCTCTTTGCGTGCGGT